TTTAAAACAAATAAAAGATAAATTAGTTAAATAAATCAATAAAATGAATGAATAAAGAAAACTAGACAATTTAACTAAGACCTAGGATCATATTAAAATTAATTTTTTGTTCGACTCTCTACATCCCCAATAGAGTCACTAAGCTATCATAACATATCGGACCGGAGACTCGATCGCAAAACATGAAAAAGTCAGGAGTTACCACAAATATTTTTTGTTAAGGTGCAATTGACCACCAAGTTATCTTTTGGTTTACGAATATAAGGTTGGATTTAGGAGTATGGTTATGTGTGAGGAAGGTTATAACACCCACACACCATTCATCCGAAAATGATACTAATTAATCTGATATGATCCTAAATTTGTCTCATTCAAATAGTCTTTTACTTATTATTTTATCATCTTTATTTTTTAATATTTGAATTCCTAAATTTTTCTTGTTCAAATAGTCTTTTACGTATTATTTTATTTTTTATTATTTGAATTTTTATTATTTGAATATTGAAAATTTTTAAATTATTTCTAACACTTTCAGTATAACTTAAAAAATTTTCTTACCTCAAGAGTATTCAAAAAAATTACTTATTTTGTTGAAGAGAATCCGTCATCGAATTTATTTTGATATTTTTGAAAGTGAACAAGATTATAATTTTCTTATACAAACACTTATAATATAATTTTAAAATTTTGGAAGAAAATCATCACTTGTAATTTCCTCATAATTTTATTATCGACGAAAATTTTAATCTACTTTGTAATGTTTATTTATTGTTTATTTTATTAATGAAGTAAAATATTTTATTAGTTAAATTCTCAAAATATTTTCAACACTTTCGAACTATTTAAAAATTTTTTTGCTTAAGATTTTCGATAAAATCACCACTTATGACTGTATTTTTTTATTAATAATGTATTTTTTATTTTTGAAAAATTCTAAAAAAATTATAACATTTTTAGAATATTTTAGAAATTTTTTGGCATAAATATTTTTAATAAAATCGCCACTTGTAATTTTATTTTTTGGTAATAATATTTTCTTTTTTATGTTTGAAAAGTTTTAAAATATTTCTAATATATTTAGAATATTCTAGAAAAAATTTTTTACATCAATATTTCTAATAAAATCACCACTTGTGATTTTATTAATTTTTTAATAATATTTTTTATATACTTGAAATTTTCTAAAATATTTATAACACTTTTAGAATATTTTAAAAAATTTCTTTGTGTCAATATTTTTAATAAAATCACCACTTGTGATTTTATAATTATTTGATAATATTTTATGATTTTTTATTTATTCATTTATTAATCTAAATTTTATATTTATTATTAGTATTTTGTTTTTTTTATCATTATTGTATTTATTTTCACATATCCTAAATTATAAACTAAAATACTATAAATAACACAAAAATAGAAAAATGGAATAAATAATAAAAAATACTAATTTTTTGCTGATCAATGGTGAGTTAATGAAAGTCAACAACAAGTCAAAGCAGACGGTCCAATCCTCATTTAGGGCGGCTTAGTGGTTCAAGACCAGTTTATCAAGACTGTTCAATGTCAACAGGATTTCACGTCATGGATCAGGTGCATGGACTCTGGGTGGGACTTGGGTCAACGCACAAATCCTCTTGGTGAAACGACGTCATTTTGTTTTTTTTTTTTATAGCACTATAAAATGTCAAAAAAATTTTTTTATCTCATTCTTTCTCTAACTCTCTCTATAAAAGAGAGAGCTTTTCTCTTTAGAGTAAAAAAGTCCAATAGAAAATAAAGATCAAAGTTTTAGAAAATTTAAGATTTTTGTTGAACTTTGATTGCCTAAAATTAGGTCTACTATTAGGGTGACTGTCGACAACTAACAGTGATTAGAACTTGGACCTGAAGGTGGATGCATTTAATGCACCAAGATTTGTAGGTAAACATACCAAAAAAGATAAGAAATAAGAAATAATAATAATAATAATAATAATACTATAAAATAAGTAAAATTACTTTTAAGTTAAAATTAAACAAAATGGGTGTTTACAATATTATTAAGAAAAAAAGAAAATTAAAAATTTTTTTTAAGAACTAAAAATCTCAACTACCTGACTTTATTGATGATGATGGTTTAGAGCTTGTGAGCAAGGTTCTGCGATCGAATATTACACTCCAAATTCTTGTGTGTCAAAACTTGCATCTTTGAGTTCTTAATATAATAAGTATATTCCTACTTTACCAGCCATTCCTACTTTATCATTAAAATAATCTAATGATAATGCGAAATAAAAAATAAACTTGTCTTTGAAATTCAAAATAGTAAAAGATAGATTTAATCAATTTTAGTGGAGATATGCATTCAAAATTTATGATATATATATATATATATATGTATGTATATATTTATATATATTCTTAAAATTTGACTAAATTTAGAAAAGAAATATAACTTTTGAATTTGATATTTTTAAATTTAAAATTTATACAAAATTTTCAATTTTTGATAGATTTTCATTTTGAATTTAAATAATTTATTAAAATAATTATTTTATAAATAAAATTTAGAGGATGATATATCTATGAAAATTTTAAATTTTAAAAAATATATATTTAGATTATTAAAAATCTATTTTAAAAAAAATATATATCTAAATTAGATTTTATTGCTAACAATTTAAAAATTATCCATGTAGATATATATTTGGATAACTAAATAATATATATGTAATAATCATTCATTTAAATTTTAAAAGTTTGAATAATTAAATAAAATTTTAAATATATATTTTTGATAAATAGTTTAAAATTAAGAAATTTTTTATGTGTCACTAAAAGGAAAATCTTAAGGGATTTTATTTTATATTGAAAAAGAAGATGTTTACGTAAATGTCTACATTAATAAATTTTATTTGATAATTATGTATGTATATATATATATATATATATATATGATATATTAATATGTAGTTCTTTGTTATTTTGTGATGGATTCATTAAATGTAATCTATTGTGTTTATATTAATAACTAATTTAAAATTCACAACTGACCACATTGAATCAAACAATTAAATTTTGATTTGAAATAATTATAATAGCCGCACACTCTGCTTACAAGTTTAACCCAAGCAATATTTTTTTAAGTGGAGTCACATAACGATATTTTTTGGTTCAACGAAATCTTGTTCCATGATCTTTCAAATACACCCGCTCTTCAAAAAAAATAAAAATAATAATACATTTGAACTACTCATTCTAAAATAATTTTTCTCATCAAACGTGAAAACTGGACACTAGACATACTGATAGTCGCAGTTATTCCAACAATTTGTGTCTTTGATATATACCAGTTATAGACAATAAGACCCACAAACCAAACAATCAAATTTTAATTTCAAATAACCACCATAGCTGCACACCCGCCTCACAAGTTTAACACAACCGAAACCCTTATCTTTTAAGTGACGGGACGTACAAATTTTATTTACTTAGCATAAAGGCTATTATCACATATAATCACTCACACAATAACAAAGTTAAAGAACAAATAATTAATAACTTGACACCTAATCAACTAATTTAAAGACACCTACACTGAGTATTTGGACTATGACTGTGACAGGACCTTGTGGCTCGGACAGGGCAACCAATGAGAAGGGATTCAGGGTCCCGCCCTTGGGTTCCTTTGACTTCTAATAGATTAACCTTCTAAAGGAAATCGAAATTCAGCCGCGGCCACCAAATGGCCAACCAAATCTTTTCACACTCCCAACGGTGGGACCCTATCTATTAAAAACGCGTTTCCGCGCCTTTGATTACTGAATTTTCATACGTCCATGTTAGAAAAGTCAAACAAGAAACCCTTTTATACAATAAAAAAAAAAGTAACAGTACTCATTTATTTTAATGAAGGATAATTAATTATTATTATAAATAATCAAAATAAATTGTTTAATGCTTGATGCTGCACCACTTGTATCTTGTTTTTCTTTACCGACCTTTTATTATTTACTCATATTAAGGTAATATTTCTAATTGGTTTTAAATTTATATGTCCTTTAATTAACAATAAGCCTTTATATTGACATATTTAAGACTAGTTATATTTTTTTTTCATAATTTAATTTATTTTGGTGAAAATTTTTATTTATAATTATGATTTTCTTTTAGTTTGAGATTTTTCAATTTGATACAAATTGAATTTCTATAATATTAAATGATGTAAACATCTATTAAAAATCAATTATTAATTAAAGATTGATTTTTTATATTTTATAATTATAATTTAAAATATAGGAAGCATCAACTTACACGTTATAAAATTAAAAAATTATATTTTTTTTAAATTCAAAAGATGAAAAAGATAAATAAAAATAAAAAAATAATTTAATTTTATCTATTAAATCTATTGAAATTAACGATTAAAAAAATATAAAATTAAAAATTTTACATAATATATATTGATCCCTCCTTAAAATATATTTAAAAAAAAAACTATAAACACATAACCAATGTATTAATGTTTTTGAAATATGAATACACTAACATAAATACTAATTGTAGTAAAAAAATGTTGTACTTCATTTCTCTAATTTGGATTTTAAGAAGAATATGTTATACAAAATAAATTCTTTCATTTGAAATTTGATTGTTCAAATGTTAGAATTTTTTTTTACTACTTATGTCACTTGCTTTTTATCCATGATAATAATTATTGATACCAAATAAAATAAAAACAAAATGCTTTATTTATTGCATTTATATATATTTTTTAAGTTTTTAAATTATTCTTAAATCTCTTATCTTATTATTTATTTAATTAAAAAAATATTTCATATATAATTTTTTTTTGAATTCATAATTTTAAAATGTTAAATCTAATAACAGACAGATCTAAAAGAAATCTTCGATTTTTATATATGTTTTCTTTAAATAAAACATATAATATGTTTTCCTTTAAGCTATTTTTTCCGAAAAATTATATTAATATAGGCAGGCATGATTTTCTTAATATAATTGTTTGGTCACCGAAACCTTCATCACAGCCTGTCACCAAGATTGTTTTTTTTTTGGGGTTAAATATTAAAAACCAGAGAAAATTCTGCCAAACTCAATTGTTCTTCTTTTTTTCTTTTTATCTTTTTTTTTTTAATTTAAAATTAAAAAATATTGTTGTTTGTTTTGTTTTTAAAAAAATCCTATTTGATTCTAACGGGTAAAGACTACCCAAAGGATGACGGAAAGCCAAAATTGGAAAAGAAAAAACCCCATGAAAACAACAGCCAAGCCCTTCAACCAAGTCCAAAAGAAAGCGCAGAAAAAAAAAATTAAGTCATTCTTCATATAAAAGTAGTACAAAATCAACCCTTCTCTATCTCTCTTCTTCTTGGTCTTTTTTTTAGGTAAGATCTTCAATCCCAGAACCCTTCAAGGATTTCATTGTTATTCTCTTTTTTGTTTGGTGAAGTGGGATTTTATTGGTTTGATCTCTTGGGGCAAGAAATATTATTCAAGCTTGCTCTTTTTTTTTTTTTTTTCTATTACTATCAAATTTTTTGATTTCCTTTCTGGGTTTTTGATTACTGTTCTGGGTTTTCTTATTTTCTATGATAAGTGTGGTATTTAAGGTTAATTTTTTTTGGGTTAATTCTGGGCTTAAATTTATGGGGTTTGATTGCTTTTTAATTGGTATCCTTTTTATCTACATTTTATTTCTATATAGATTGTTATTATTCTTGGGGAGGGTTGCTATGGTTTCTTTTAATTGCAAAATTGGGTTTATTGATGATCTGTTCTATAGCTGATTTTGATGAGCGTTTACTTATCAATTTGATATGATCTTCAGTTATTTTAATCGAAGTCATAAATTTTGCCTCAAGTTCATGATATTGAATGATTTTGTGATTGATTTTGCTGTAGGCTGTGCTTATCGAATAATCACGGATTTGGTACTATATAAACGAGGCAGGTACTTATGGCTAATAGTGCGGCAGCATGTGCTGAAAGGGCAACCAGTGATATGCTGATTGGTCCAGATTGGGCTGTAAACATCGAGCTATGCGACATTATAAACATGAATCCAGGGTATCATTCTTTTTATTTCTCAGTTTGGTGGCTTGTTTGCTGTACTTTGCTAATTTCTTTTCTTTTATGCATTTTAGTATGTATGATTGTGATTCGGGAATTGGATTATTTGATTTACTTGGAAGCACAAGTATTTTTACCAGAATATGTGAAAATGTATGAATAAGCAGAAACATATTGTCTGATGCTGAGGAATGAATGGTGGAATTATTTTCTCCTATTTAATTGCTTGAAGTATGATTTTGTGCTCCCAAGGGGTTTTGCAGAGACCTGCAGCACCCTCTCTTATGAAAGTTGCATGGCTGTCTTGCGATTGTTTTGAATTCATTGGTGCATTATTATAACTTGATCCTAGCATATTATTTGCATTCCGTGATGCATGGGGATCCTAACTTATTAAGACTTCAATGAAAATTTTAATTGAGTTAATTGACATTCTCTATTTGTCTGTTGCAGACAAGCTAAGGATGCTTTAAAAGTCCTCAAGAAGCGGCTTAGCAGTAAAAATCCAAAAATACAGCTACTAGCACTTTTTGTGAGTTACATGTTTCTCCCTTTGTTCATATGTCATAGATATAGCTCTTTTAGATATTTTATTCAAAGTGGTACCATCTTTTGTTTTTTCCTTAGTGGTGCATGGTAATAAAGAAGTAATATGATACATATTTCTGATATATTGGTCCAGGTATTGGATTCACTCAGCAAAAATTGTGGTGAGCATATTTTTCAGCAGATTGTTGAGCGTGATATCTTGCATGAAATGGTTAAAATAGTAAAGAAGAAGGTGACTTATCTTCACCTGACCTGTGATAAGTGAAATTTCTTTTTAATTTTCCCCCTTTCTGGTACTTACTACTTGTGTGCTTCCTTCTGGTTTAACTGCGCAGCCTGACTTGAATGTCAGGGAAAAGATACTTATTTTGATAGACACATGGCAAGAAGCCTTTGGAGGATCTACAGGGAAGTATCCTCAATATTTTGCCGCATATAATGAACTACGGGTAAATGTTCTGCTGTGCCTTTATCTGCCCCTTTATTTTATTGGCTCTTCACAAGCATCTATTTTCCCAAGCATGAATATTATCAAGAATGTTCTTTTTGTGCCTAAATATTTTAGGTTTAAGGTTTCGTGAACCTCAATCCATGTTTACATAATTTTAATTTATTTCACCTTATGTTTTGAGTATAGAGAAAACAGGTTTTCTTGTTTGGTTTGAAACTCTGTGGTGGAAGACTGGAAAATGGTAGTTTTCTTTTTTGTCCTTTCAATAGTCTCTAGTTTATCATTTGTTGAAAAATATAAACCAGAAAAGTGAGTTAGTAGCCCATGGTTATGGTGACTTAAAAGGCTGCTATTTTTTATGTATAAAAATATATGCAAATTTTATGATTTATAGTTTTTTGTATACATGTTTGAGTAATGCATTATTGCCAATGCATCCCATTCTCAACAGCAGAAAGTAAGGGAAACGAAGGCTAGCAAATACATTCAGATTGGTCTTTGGACTCTTAGTATCATATCATGATTTCCAGAAAACATTAGTTCCAATGTCAGCTGGCTATGCTTTTAACTTCTCTCTCTATATGTATGTATAATCTTGCTGCAGTTTTTTTTTTTTTTTACCTGTAAATTACATTAATTAATTTCATGTATTGACTGACAGCATCCTTTTTTCTGTTTAGTATTTATATTTTTCTGTTGGGTTGTGCTGTTATGTAAAATATAGAAAAAGTTGAATACCATTATGTTCACATAGAGACACAATGACTAGCTATTCTTGCAACTTCATGATTCTCCCTTCTGGCCTCTTCTGTTAATTACCTTATTTTTCATCTTTATTCCTTCTTTTCTTTTGAGGTTGCTTGGAGCAATTTTGTTGTAAAATGTGTATATTGACTTCTTACCCCTTTCAGTACTAAAATCACCAGTTACTTATGCTGTTTGGAAAGTCAAACTTTCTGTCCTAGTGTTTTGTCCATCATATCTATCCATATCTGTTTCTTGAATTTATTTATTTATTGCTGTATATTTTCAGGCTGCTGGAGTTGAATTTCCTCCTCGAGAAGAGAATAGTGTACCATTGTTTACTCCACCTCAGACCCATCCAGTAACTCACCACCCTTCAATATCTGAGGATGCTGCTATTGAGGCCTCTCTACAGTCGGATGCATCTGGCCTCAGGTACTAATGTGCTAATACCATTGTATTCTGGCTGTGGATCTTTTACACATGTATGACAGGACAAAGATTTGGTAACCATTGCTTCACTTCAATAAAAGCTTAGATCGGGGAAAAAAAAACCAGATTTGTTTTTGGTATCTGGAAAATCATAACACTTTTGCTTAGATCGCATATCTCTTCTCTTTGCTTGTCATGTTTTACTTTTTGGTGAGATATAAATTGTAAATAGTTAATATGTTTATATCTTCTCACGTATATGTCACAATTGCATATGCTAAATTATATACGTTATAGTTTGCATATTATCTCACAATTTCTATTCTGTGGTCCGTCACATGTTTTAATTTTTATATAAAAACTATAATAATGTAGAAATGAATTTGTTAATTTATTTTCTTTAATAAATCTAAAATTGATGCAGGGCATTTTATGAAATCGTTTCTTGAAACATCACTTTTTTTTTTCGTACTTAAGCTTTTTGGGTAAATAATTCCTGATGATTGGGAGTTAGAAAGTTCTGCTGGATTTTAACTCACTGAGACATTTGATAGATTGTTGTAGTCAGCTTAGAATCATTACCTTTGGTTCAAAGATATTATTTCTAACTTTTGGGACAAAACCTTAAGCTATTCTTTCTCTTTGTACTGGGTTAAACCCTAATAAACCACTGGACAGTTACTTTGCTGCGTCACTCTTTCCATCTTCATGCATTAACATCTTTGCTGATGGTAAAAAATAAAAAAATAAAAAAATCTTTTCTGCTTACACATACGCTTCCTGCATACACCTGCATTTTTTTTGTTATCATAGACTCTAAAGAGATAGTCTATTTTCAGCTTGCCAGAGATTCAAAATGCTCGTGGACTATCGGATGTATTAATGGAAATGCTTAGTGCATTGGATCCCAAGACTCCTGAGGTAGATACTTTGCCCTGCAAATGGATGATTATGCGAGTCACATGGTCTATGCTGTTTTAATTTTTCTGATTGTCGTCTTGCTGATTAACTTTTATTTCTTCTTTTGATGTGCAAATTGTAGTGCTTTCATTTTCTTCTTGTTTCTTTTAGTTAGTACAAGGGAAGTTTTTTGTTCTGAACTAATCTATTTATATGGGATTGGCTCCGTCAATCCTCTTTTCCTTCTCCATTTATGGAGCATTTGGTTCACAGAATTTTAGATTTTGGGGAAAATTATGATCCTTAGGAAAGTGTGGATTCCTGACAAGAGGTGATTCTTCATGGTATGGGATTTTTAGATTCCTGTGTTTGGTTGAGGAGAATCTCAGATTACTTATCTTGTATTTTTACTAGAATGTCTTTGACTACATAAAAAGCACAACAAATTGTCAATAAAAATAATAGACAATTAATGCGTATCAACTCCTATAAATACTGTCTGAGTGCACAAATATAAAAAAAAAGAAAAATTATTAAACAATTGCTGCGTATAGTCCATCCAAGAAATGCAAGATCTTAATTCTTGGGCAGTGGTATCCATTTGGGCCATCCTATTATTTTTCTGTGCATTATTCCTCTGTTTCAATTGATTCTAAGTCTATGTTACACATGCTCAAAACATCTTACAGAAGTTTTTCTCATTTTATCATCAATAGAAACATTATTATGACTGCTGCAAATTCTGAGTTGTAGGAAACTGTAATTTACGGTGCAACTGCTCCCTTTTGAATGTTAAACTTGTTTTTTTCCCTCCGGAGCCTCTTAAATGGATTCTCTTTGTTGAGTATATTACAAAATTTAGTGGGTAATCTCATTAATTTATGTTTTCTGATCTCTTTATGCAATGCCAAAATATGTCTAGCTGTGTAAAAGAATGTAAGTTGAGAGGCTTTATTTTAGGTCATTGTTTTCTTTTTCTGAGTTCTCGTGGCAAAAATTGATAAATAAACAATCCTAATGCATGCAAGGTGATTAAATTAATAAGTATTTTTATCCTGATGCAAGTAAAATATATTAGGCCTTACCGTTTTGAATGCTGTGCAGGCTGTGAAGCAAGAAGTGATTGTTGACCTTGTTGATCAATGTCGTTCTTACCAAAAGCGCGTCATGCTTCTTGTGGATAATACAACGTGAGAATCTTTTGTATCCTCGGCTGATTTCCTTTCTGTTAGAATAATGCTGATGGTTGATTTTGCTTTTTCAGAAATGAGGAACTTTTATGTCAGGGGTTGGCACTAAATGATAGCTTGCAGCGTGTTCTTAGCCGGCATGATGACATTCTGAAAGGAAACACTGCAACAACAGCAGTAGCAGAAACTCCTGTTGTGCCACTTGTTAATATTAACCATGAGGATGATGAATCAGAAGATGAATTTTCTCAGCTGTCTCATAGGTGACTTTATCATGTTTTTCTTCCTCACTCCCTTTTCTTTTTGCTTTCAAAATTTTCCTGCTAGTTTACTGAAAATATTTGCATTGTACCAGTCACCAGATTAGCCTTGCACTTTTGAAACCATGAAAAACATAGACAAAGAAATTGCTACCGATTCTAGTTTATCTACTTAGCACGTGGAAATGGCCTATGGACACTTTACCACATTGTTTTGATGTGTTGCATTCCCTGGCCTACATTGGATTTTTTGTTTTCATTGGTCGAACATATTATAGATAACTGAAACCTAAGCAAAATTAATAGCAGGATTGTATGTATGGAAGTGTAGTGGTTTTCTCTTATCTGATTATACTCTAAAATGCATCCATCTTGTTAAACACACATAAAGATTGCTTCGAATGTAGGTCCTTAAGATTTGAGTAATCAGTCCTTGATTAAGGGCAATGCTCCTAATTTCTTGGCTATGTTATTTTTTACTTTTAATCTAATTTAATCAATCCTTGTATTCGGTTATTACAGATCATCAAGGGATAATTTTCAAGGACAGGGCAGGAGAGCACCTAACATTGAGCCTGCACGAATTGGTCCACTTCTTCCACCTCCACCCTCATCAAAAAGGCCAGTTAATACAAATACCAGCATGGTTGATTATCTTAGTGGTGATACCTACAAATCTGAAGATTCCCCTGAAACAAGAGAATCCGCACCTTATTTTGCCACTCCTACTCATACATACACAAACTCCTCCCCACAGTTGATTTCAACTCTAGCTCCATCATCTCCTCCTTCCTATACTGCTGACTCTGGATCCTCGCCTGTGTTCAGTGGACAGCCTATATACGACAAACCAGCTTCCTTGAGCAAATCTGCTGATACTGAGCAGCTGCCTCCAGCTCCCTGGGACAGTCCTGCTGGAAACCTTCCACCACCGCCTTCAAGGTTTAATCAGAGACAACAATTCTTTGAGCAACAACAACACGGTTATACTGGTGGTTCATCTCATTCCAACAATGGAACTGGTTCCTCTTATGACAGCTTGGTTGGACAAACTCAAAATCTCTCCCTTAGCTCATCGACCCCAACCAAACAAGTAAAACCAGAAGATGCTCTCTTCAAAGACCTGGTTGATTTTGCGAAAGCCAAGTCATCTTCATCATCCAAACCTAATAATAGGTCATTTTGATCGTCTCAGAGTAGTCAACTTGGTTTTGGGTGGTACAGCTTGTGAACAGTTATTAGATTATAAGGTTTTTTTTTTTTTTTGGTATTAGATTAATAGAACATGTGTTTACACATTGCTTATGGTTTGTCTATTCTGTTTATAGGTTTAATTTCGAGACTAACTGCTCGTTGGATGTATTCGTATATTTTACATATTCTGATACTTGGTGTATCATTTTTTTCGGTTTGATCTTTCCCCCGCCTACTTGTATATATAAGTTCACTCCATGGTTTAGGGTCTATTAAAGGAAGTAAAAGGACTGGAAAACTCCATTGCCAAGCACTCGAAGTCTTGGCTATTTCTCCCTTGATGCCTCTTCGGTAAATAAAATAGGAAGCTTTGGGCCACTAATTGATTTTTTACCTTTTACTTGGTATTGTCCGTACAAAACCAACTAAATTCAAATGTGAAAATAATGCAAGCATAAGTTATTTTTAGAACCCGCGTTCCCCCACTCAATGCCTCCTTAAAAGTTAACATTCATCCCCTAGGTTAAAATATGACCAAAACTAGTTTTAACCTCGTAAGGGATAACCAAAAGTTAATAAATTTGTAAAGTAAATATAAATGGGGAAAGGGTTTTTATTAAAAAATGTTGAAACTTATCCAGAAAAAAAAAGGTTATTATATATATCAAATGTGACATGAAAAAAAAAAGGCAAATAATGTAAAAAATTATCATCAACATGATGTATACTCGTGTATGTGATCTTTCATTTCTCTTTTGGATACATTTGAATTTGAGTTAATAGCACAGTTGCTACATCTACTGATCAATGTTCAATGAAACTATGTGGAAAGAATGCATGATGATTGATATGATCATTCCAATAACTTCGACCAGAGGCAGCTGCAGGAGTACTGAAAGGACCACTTGGACAATAATAATAATAATAGACAAGAAAAAGGCATAGACCCAAACAGCTTTTAGAATTGATGAAGGCTAGCACCTACACTCTTATCAGCTGTACTTGTGCTTGTATTTTTTTTTTTGGTTAAAAGGAAAATAAGAACTAAAGTAGACTTAAAGAACTATCAAAGACAAATCAGGTTTTGGTCATGTATTATCCATTAATCATCATTGTAGATGTAAAAAGTTTCCAAACATTGAATGCAAGACCTCGCTAATTATAAAGTAATTCAAACCCAACATACATACCATTCACTTCGGGACGGTGTAGAAATTTTTTTAGAAAGAGCAAAAATAAATTTTATTATATGTTAATTTGGTTATTTAATTAAATTATAATTTATTAATTATTTATTTAATAATATACTAATTAATTATTCAATTGATTATATAAATATAATATTTAATTATCAGTATAACTTAAAAACATATATATTTTGTAATGCACCAAACAAAATATACCATTATGTTACTAATTTTAACATATATTCGTAATAACAAAAGGAAATCTAAACAGATAATCTTTAAATATAAACAATTTCCTTTTCAATATAAACAATCATAAAGTATAAAATAGACATAAATAACTAATAAATTACATCCTTTCAATTGTAATTATAAAATAAAATAATACTTCACAACACTTACATGATATAAAAAAAATTGGTACAAAATTTTCTTTTCTCTTTTAAATGATCCAAGAACGAAAAAGTAGTTTTGTTGTTGGCTTGGAGTCGAGGACCTGGAGAGTTGGAGTGTCGGATGAGGGGAGTTAAAAAAAAGTTTTTTAAAGAAAAATGTAATGTATAAGTTCTTCAATTTCACCCTCCGGCTCCGTCATGCATTCACCACAACACAATAAAAGTTTAAAATCTTTATTATTATGAGACTAAAAGACCGAAGACATTTTTAAACTGAGTTAATTGAGTTAGTTTATATAGTTTTTTTATATATTAGGCATATACGATTATGATAATATATGATAAAATAATATTATAAATAAAATTAAATTAAATAATATCATTTTATTTTATTTTTAATATATACAAAAATTAAAATAAAATAATTTATTTATTAATTAAAATTATTTTTTTTCAGAGTTTATATAATTTAAACTATTAATATAATTTTTAAAGGTATTATAAAATATATAAATTCAATCTCATGAATTAAAAATAATTCTTTTCACTTTAAGAGAATTAAATCATCTTATATTAAAAAGATGATTAATTCTCTTTATAATCATATCTTTTTTTTTTAGATACAAATAAATATAATATAAAATAATTATTATCATGTCCTATTTATAATCCTATGAATTAAAAATAGCCTTGAAAAATAATTTTCAATAAATTTGAAATTCTTATTTTAACATTTGTAACCCTTTTCTTTTATTTCAAATTGTGGCTTTCCTAAAGAAAAAAAAAAGGACATTTAGAAAAACAATTACATTCTTCTAAAGAGGAAAGATTTAAGCTAGAAGCAACTTATCCACTACTATCCCCTGTAAACTTTGATTATAGCTTTCTTCTTCTTTTTTTTTTTTGAATTTGGGATAAATTCCATTATGTCACGTATATTAAAAGAACATAAGCAATAGAAACGGCATAATAATAAATTTAAAATTTAACTAAATTGATATAAAAAAGATAACATCCGATAAATTTATATTAGAATTCGATACTTACAATTTTTTTTTTATTTTTATGCTACGATCTTTTATAAAAAAAAGAAAAAGAAAAAGTGCATAATAACAGTTGGACAACAAGAAATTAAGCAGCATTAATTATTTATGGGCTATTGATCATTAATGAAGCTTCTTCCATGCATTGCTGAACTGAACATATATTTATTTTCAATACGAGGAGGAAATAAGAAAGGGCTAACTGTTGTTACTGTTGCTAAGAAGTCGATGACCAATGAAATATAGGCTTGCCAGCTTCAATTTTTTATACAAAAGGGCAAAGATCTTTCGCTTGATTCTTCCTCTATTTGGAGGAACTCGGCACCTGTTCTTCTTATACCCACCTTCAAGTCCTGCTCTTTGACATTCCATTGCCGACGCTTTAACCTCAACCATTTTCTTATCCATATGACCAAAGAGATAGAGAAGAAGAAGAAGAAGAAGAAGAAGAAGAAGAAGAAGAGAGAGAAAATTATATGGTTGCATGAAAAACTAATATCGAACCACTAATATGCGGAAAACACGTAAATTCATGTTTTTAGAGAAGGAACCTTCCTGCCACTTTCATGCACTTCACAATCAGTTTCATAATTTTTTCCCAAAAAGCAATTCAAGTACTTTCATCAATAAGTTTGATGATGGTAAAATGTTAATTTTTTAATTTTAGCGAATGCAGTTCAATTTTTCACAACTTCAAGTATATAAAAATATATATTACAAAGACAAAAATAAGAAAAGCAATAACTTCCAAAAATAGTTAGCTAGTTTACAAATTTTGCAAACGGCCATTTTGTTGGCTATGTTATTGAATAATCTTTGTACTTTTGTGCGTCGAGTTATGGTAGAGATTGCTAACGTGTGACTCTCCATCGATCTCGAAGTAAATTCTTTGGTAGATGAATTGTCTGCGCCACTAAAGTAACAGTTGGACCACTTACTGATAATTTGAATAGGTTAAGATCTATTCACATGTTATAACATTAACTAGATTGAAGGAGGTCAAATTTTATAGTTCTTGTCTGCAAAAATCCACACTTTCCAATTGAATGAACATATATAGCTTATCATTTTTGTTTTATGAAAAGAAAGCAAAATCGTAATCACAAAATTACTAATTATTTCCAGGTGTTAATCTTGTTCAAAGCTGGCACAAGTTCTAGGATCATGTTTCCAAAGTCTCACAATCCTCTTAAATGATGGCATTCAGTAGATTTAAAATTTAAATTTCAATATTTACAATTTATTTTCTTATCCTCCGATTATGACTTACTTTTTTTAAAAGAAATTCCACAGCCCCTCCATTGTTCCAAAATAAGCTCTGTCTCAGTTTCATGATGCCCAAAAATTTAATAAAACCGATCAGTTCATTCACCTTAACACATTAATCATCTAATTGTGCATGATTAATTTGCATGTAGCTTGGCTCTTCCATTCTTGTCTAAATGCAAAAACTTCATTGATAACCCTGCAACATGCTTTTATTAGTGGAGACATGAAGCGAAGGAGGCTACCAATTTGATTTCCCTGTAATCCCAATTCCACTTCCTTGAGATTCCTTAATTCAGAAAACTGCAGGACTAACTCAACCATGCGAATCAAGGGAAAAATATTTGTTTACCATTCTGTAAATTCCTTAATTCTTTCATCTTGGATTGATGTAGTTACTGAACTGACCATCAGTTGAAATACAAGATAGATTGTGGTTGAATAAGAAAGGGTATTGTTAACAGGGTTTGAACAATAATTAATGGTTTGTTCTGCAGTACCTGTGGAATTAATTACATCACATGTCTGCCTGCTTGTAATTTGGTTTTTCTGCAGTGCCTATGGAATTAATTACATCACATGTCTGCCTGCTTGTAATTAGGTTTTTGAATGGAATCTTCAACTTGATTTTTAGAAGTCTCCAAAACGTCCTCGTCTTATGGACCTTTAGAAGCAACAAGAGACGGAGAAGGATCATTATGGGTATAATGTTTGGTCTCCTCATTAACAGACCGTTTGGTAAATTGCTTGTCAATATTGGGCATAGTTGACCTCTGAGGATCCAGTCTTTTTACCGTTACTTTTACCACGTTGCTTGCTCGCCTGAGCTTTATCGATCGCCTCGGTCTTCGTCGGTTGACCACCATCCCTGCGCCATATTTCGTATTGTTATCATATTCCTGTAAGGGAGAGTTGGAAATGTTCATGTCAATTTCCTTTCCTCCCTGGAGCTGTGAAGTTTCTAAAATTTCCTCCTTAGGACACTTCAGAGGGTTGTGACCTATGCATCCACAACTAAATCAGGGGCCAGCCACCGTTTCATACATGACCGGTTATTTGAACACAGAACTAAAATTTTTCATTAAAATGTTTTCACAAACATAAATACAACAACAATAACACACCAAATCTTATAGCACATATTTTGGAGTTTGCTATATGAAAAATCAAATAAGAGAATCAAGTTAAGTTGTAGTTTGAATCTTTTTACGTCACTCATTTTTATCAACAATCACTTTTTCATCTTATTTCTTAACCATCATATTGTTTTTTATTATTTATATATATATATCTTTTGTGGTCTACCTCTAGATGTTTTGAT